GATAACTACTTAAATTGATTTACGATACGACCAATTGTTCATTATTAACGAATTTTGAGAGAAAAGTAGCTTTACTCCATCTAGGAATATCACGTAATAACAGTCTAAAGGCTCTACACAGGGTTATGACTTATTATAAAAAAGTTCTCCATATCGGGTTATGACTTCTTATGAGTTAAAAAACATCCATAGAGGCAATTATTTCTTATCCTGTATTAATTCACATTGTGTATGAATTTGTGAATTTGTTTATCTACGAACTCCTCCAACGAACAGCTCAGGAGATAGCAAGACCAAACCTGCCAGGCAGGCTCGGAATAGCCCAGGAGCGTTCTTTGATATATGGCGTAGCCCTTTACATTTATTTTGTATATCAACATTAAGTGGAGGGCTAAAACGCGCCCTGAATAACACCCAGGGATGATGGGGTCTAGGAGTGAGATTACAGGTTTGCTGAACTAGAATCTGGTATCGCATTATGTGTTCCTGGCACTACTCGGAATCTCGGGGGCACCATGTTTGAAACTGTGCTCATATCGCTACTCACAAACTGGCAGGACCGAACAGGGCGTACGTGCTCAGGTACGGTTTTTCTTTTTTCTATTGGGTAAGGACCCCCATCTTGGAATAAATATAGAAGTGATTGGGAATCATGGAGGAACTCGATCGCTACACTGAGGCCTTTGTGAACAATGAGGGTCCTTTGAACCCCGTATTGGAGCGCGAGTATTTTATGCTAGTGAGAGTAAAGATCTCCATAAAGAGATATGACTTCTTATGAAAGTAAAAGCCTCAACAAAGGTCTATGACTTTTTATGAGAGTAAAGGACTCCACAAAGGACTATGACTTCTTATGAGAGTAAAAATCTCCAGATAGGACTATGACTTCTGAGAGTAAAGAACTCCACATAGGGCTATGATTTCTTATGAAAATAAAGGCCTCCACAAAGGGCTATGACTTCTTATGAAAGTAAAGACTTCTACATAAGGCTATGGCTTCTTATGATGATAAGGACCTTTACATAAGCCTATCACCTCTCAAAGAGAGATTTTTGTTTATACGTTTATGTGAAGTTGGTATATTGCTATCTTATATCTTAATATCGCACTTTGATTCTCTATAATTCATGAAACTGTTACTTGTCTAAGGTTGTTCTTAATATTCGAAAGAATATTTATTTGTTTGATTTTGTTTACTTCTCAGTAGTCTTTGGTTTATTATTAACTTATGTTCTTTATTGAAAAAGGGGGCTCATCTTCCGTTCCAACTTTCTAAGGAACCGAGCTTATCTTCTGGGTTCTATCGGATTAGATACTGTAGTGGATTGTGTTCATCAGTTTAATGTTTTTCTCCAGCTTGTTCGTCGGTCACTGCTTTTTTTCATCGTATCTTTCATCTCGGAAAGCCTGCCCATGCGACACTGGTACGGAATGGATGAACGGACAGGAGGTCACGAAGGATACAGTTGAGGCTATCATTCATTATCTGTCCGAGACGGCCAATCTTGAACGTGTCATTCATGTAAGCTCAAGATTTCAGATTTTTCTGCTTGCCTCTCAACTTCATCTTTCGATTTTCCACTGTTTCTGAAAAAATAAAACAAAAAAAGCAAACTATAATTCAGAGTTTTTTGTTTTTTTTTACTTTTACACAATAATATTTTGTATATTTCTATTTATTTATTTTCATTAAAACTACAGTTTTGCAACATGAGTGCCCCCCCCCCAGTGTCACAGCGGTATGTCTGCGGACCTAAAACGCTAGAAACCGGGTTTCGATACCCGTGGTGGGGACAGCACAGACAGCCCTTTGTGTAGCTTTGTGCTTAACTGGAAACAAAGGAACATGAGTATTTATATTCGTTTTTTACCTCATACCATGATGTAAACAGTGTTATGTTTGTATTAAAGTGCTGTGTCTATTTGCATTAAACTTCTTTGACGTCAGTGTGACTTTTGTCATCTAATTATTATTTTACGAATCTGGTATTTTTTATAATGTGAGAATTACAGCATATTATGAATCTGTGCAAGCATAGGATTAATTTGAACCAACAGATTAGCCTTTGTCTTCCATCTAGCTGTTGCAGCAATTGTGTCTGAAAGCTGACTCCATGAGCTGCTTTATCAAATCTACTTTGATATATTTCTTTACTACTAATAAATCTCATTTCTTTAAAGTAAACCAATGTTTGCGAGATTTCTGTGGTTTAGAGCAATAATCGGGAATCCTTGAGCTGTAGTATAAGGTATAAATCCCTGAGCTGTCGTATAAGGTATAAATCCCTGAGCTGTAGTATAAGGTATTTCTTTTTTAGCATATATATATTTCTATTGTATTTTAGTTTTACAGGCTTACTTTTCAACGCCCATCGAATTTGTTTTTTTAGGGCAAACCTACACAATAGGCTATTTGCTCTCTGTCTGCCTCGGGAATTTGAACCGTGGAATTTATCGTTTTAAGACCGTAAACTTACCGCTGACCCGTCTGGGAGTATGATAGAGTTAGGTACTGGTATCTAGTTTTACAAACAGCAGAGTAGTGACGATATTTAACCCCACTAGGGAGCTGTGGTGGAGTTAGGTACTGGTATCATACTTTACAAACAACAGATTAGTGACGATAATTTAACCATACCGAGGGACTATGGTAAAGTTAAGTACAAACAGCAGTATAGTATATCCCCCAACCACAAATTATATCTGTTCCTTCACTCTTTATTCGTGTTACGATTGTACGGGTAAGTGGTATGTATTGTTATGTACGTGATATGACAATAAAGGCTATTATCCATCCCTCCATGTTTTATTTTCACATTTTATTTAAATGATATATGCATATCAATACTATCAATTTAATAAATTATATGATTGTTGATTCTTCTTACCAATAAGAAAGGTGTGCCGTATTCGATAGTTTCATCTGTACAGGAGCTATCTTCTAAGTGATGTAGTTTTCGTTTAAGTTCATAGTGCGATCGTTAGGCTTATTGGTTGTGAACGATTCGTTAATCAATTAGGTGTGTACGTAAGTGAAGTTATCCAATGTTTTTACTCTACCAAGTCCAAAGAGTGTGCCATTGTGTATGTAGTTCAGGGGAGGACTTTAACAGCTCTAAATGTCTCGACATGTTTTTACAAAGAACGTCAACAAAAATTGTTGTTGTAAAAAGTGCTTTCAAAACGTTAACGCCAAAAAGCGCGGTAAATTAAGAAAAGTAGTGGCCACATCTGTGGGTAGAATGTAGTAATATTATTGTAAAACAGTATTTAAGTAAACTATCATATTGTATACATACTTAAAATCACGAGCCAAACTTTTACTAGATCTATGTATTTTTATGTTTCTAATCGTAGAATTGTAACTATTCTGTAACTATTTATTACGAAACATTATTTCATACCAATTCATTCATACGTTAGTCGCTAGAATGCCTGTTCATGTTCGTTTAAATGTGTAGTTGTGTTCGTTATCTTCGAGCGAGTGTTAAATAATCGAATCAATCATTCATGGGTTAAATCTTGCAAAGTATATTAGCGTCATTTGATGAACAGTTAACCTTTAAAAAAAATAATGAGTGCGTTATTATTTGCCCAGAACATGTAAAATCATTTCTATAGTATCTAGCACATGTTCTGTAATTCAGAGTTTTCTGCCAAAGTTACAAGTGAATTCATACAGTGAGTCACGTATAGAAAACACACGAGCTCCGAAGGATCACATTAATTATGGAAATGAGTAATTGTCACGAAACTCTGAGTGTACAGTGAAACTATAAAAGTTTCATAATATTTTGACAACATTACGTGAATAGCTAGACGTGGATAAGTGAACTACAGTCGAATATTCACTTTTTCAAACTTTTTATTTTCATTTTGAGGGGACAAGACAGATGGTGAATTCTTTAGACAAATATAGTCATACTCTTGGAAGAGTTACTTCTTTTATAGGAGCAGAAATATTTTCGTGATACTGTTGGCATTAAAACTGGTAGGAAACAATAATAATATTAATCATATATTAAAGCTATCAAAAACATGATAACGTATGGATCGTGTGCTTTTCATCTGTCGTGAAAGGAGTTTTGCAACAAGCAGTTAAAATGAATACACCACATACACACAGATATATAAATAATTTGTGTAAGTCCTTGATAATTAGAGGACTTAATGTAAAATTCCAGTGAATGTTCTTATAGGCACTATTAAAACGAAGCAAAAATTACTGAAAGATTATTTCATTTGAGCCAATACTTCATCTTTATTTTTTTCCCTTTGTGTGCTATCCGCGCCTAATGTTATCTACGCAGGATTTGCATCTTCGCTGTGCATTGTTTGGATGTTAAAAGATTCGAATTGTTTAAAGTCCATTACGATTTAAAAAAAAAAGGAGAATGACAATCGTCATTTTCCCATCTTTTCATTCAATCTTATTCAATTAGAAAACACGTAGATTTACTTTCTTACTAGAACACTTGCTTGAAAATAAGCTAGATATCATCATATTATACACTTGATCTGATTTTCTGCATCTGTAAACGTGCAGACTAGCAGGCAGTGGAGTAATTTCTGCTGGCATCCTGACTTGTAGTTGTTATTTTGTATTCACACCACGGTTCCAGCACCGCCCGTAGGGTAGGCTTCGGTTCATCGTTTCTGTGAAGTTATGAAACACAGCGAAGAAACCTATGCTTCGTGAAAGGCTAAGACCAAGAGAAGCGAGGAGGGGGAAATGTTTTCTTAGGCTCAGGGCGGTACGCGATCTCGCTTGCAATAGCCTTTGGACTGTTTAGCTTTATTGAAGACTTGTGTAAGCGCCAACGGTGAACTTATAGTCTCCTTTCACCTTTTGAAAATTGATCATTAGTGTAGCGGACAATGCATAATTCCACCTTTCTTCCCATTCGATGAGTAGACTAGTCGTAGCCTCTGCAACGCGCGTGCTCAGTCGTTCACCATGCGCATGGTTTTGCTAACAAATGTGAGTGTGTTGAGTGGTTGTTGTGTTCTGAATACTTATCGGTTGCGTGTTTCACATCGCTCAGAGCTGCTCTTGTGTAACTCCTTTAATCTCATTTCAGGTTGAATCTTGATGACTGTGATAAAGCCAGTTAAACTATCCTTTGACGTTATTCTACTCAATCTATATTAAGCTGCATTAGTAACTAAACTGACTACTAACGATATAATAATGTCAATGGCTAATTTGAAAACTTTTTTGATACGAAATGACAACTAGCGTCGAGATAAACATTTTGACTGACAGAAAGTTCGTCACCACCTTGAAACTGTGATCAGATTTAGTACTAGTAGCAACTGAAAAAGTAAAAATCCCGATTGAAAGAAAACACGTCAAGAAATCATTAACAAGCAATCCAGGGTTTGATCAAGAAGGCTCTGCTGCTCCGTATATTCGAGGAAATTTTGCCAAGAAAATATTTCTAAACTTGCATGTCTTTCGTAGCCTGAGGAGAATCTTGACATTTATGGTAAGATAACTTTCAATGCCTCTGTTTATTAGAAGTAGTTAGGCACTGAGGTGGACGTTGAAGTCAAATATATATATGTTAATATATTTTGTCGGGTAATACTAATAGTACAAACTAAAGAATTCAAGGCATAATTTTCATAAGCGATGTAGGCATGTTTAAAGTTATCCAATCAGAGCCAACATAAACGACTTAATATTGCAGCTAATATTTGGAAAGAACTTAAACAAACATCTAAATCTTTATGTATTAAACTATTTATTAGAAGTGATGACGTTCCAACAAGCATTTTATTTTTAACACACTTATATTTTAACACCTTCCATTTTTGAATATGATTTTGTATTTAGATTATTTCTGATTATAAATGTAAGTAATAATAACCTGAAGCATTAAGCTAAAAATGTTAACGAGCTTCGCAGCGCAACACGTGTAAGGTTCGATATTGGCTTGAACGATTTTTCTGTAGAAGATGAAAGTTCCAAATATTTCTCAGCGGGAACTAGTAGATAACATTGAAAGCATACTTTATAGAGTAAACTTTGTTATTTTTTAGACTGTACTTTGTATTAATTAAGACATCGAAATGCATACTTTGTGTCTTTATAAAGCACATTCACACCAACAATATGGTTGATACTTTTCACTATGATATAGGTCCAGTTTATCTCTCTTTGGTTAACTTGTGTTCAGGGTTACTGATGAAGAGTGGAATTCTCCGAAACTAGTGTAACCCAATAACACACGTTGATCAAAGTTTGGATTGAACTGGACCTCCGTTAAATTTAGACTTCGAGATTAAACAATTCTCTAAATACTAAGTTTATTTATTAAGAAAATTTAACACGAAGAACACATGTTTGCTGTGTAATTTCTTTCTAAAATAGATTTCAAATAAGACAAATAGAATTTTTACAATAAATTGAATAATGTTACATAGTTTATTTCATTCTGTAGCAGTTTCGATCCCATGATTGTAGCAAGACAACACTCTTTTTTTTTTCAGAAAGATGGTGGTTCCGTTACTTTTTTGGGTTATTTTTCTTGGTCTGTGAGTGGTTTGACAAAATTCGCTAACTCTTAGTTAGAAGGCATGAAATACTAAAATTAAGACTTTTGTGAAAATGCTATCGATAGCTCATAGTTACAGCTGTTGATATATGTATGTATATATACATAATGCAAGTTTCTTTTTTTAATTTTTAGCCGGAGACGACTTAGAATTTAGTTAACGACCTATTACTTTCGACTCGTTTGTTGAAGTTGAACTAGTTGTAGTTTTTAGCCGGAGACGACTTAGAATTTAGTTAACGACCTATTACTTTCGACTCATCTGTTGAAGTTGAACTAGTTGTAGTTTTTAGCCGGAGACGACTTAGAATTTAGTTACCGACCCATTACTTTCGACTCGTTTGTTGAACTAGTTGTAGTTTTTACCCGGAGACGACTTAGAATTTAGTTACCGACCCATTACATTCGACTCGTCTGTTGAAGTTGAACTAGTTGTAGTTTTTAGCCGGAGACGACTTAGAATTTAGTTACCGACCCATTACTTTCGACTCGTTTGTTGAAGTTGAACTAGTTGTAGTTTTTAGCCGGAGACGACTTAGAATTTAGTTACCGACCTATTACTTTCGACTCGTTTGTTGAAGTTAAACTAGTTTTAATATTTAAGTGGAGTGGATACACCATGTGAATATCAAACAATGTACTTGAAAACTGGAACAGTGAACTGAATTCGACTTTCGGTACCGTAGTTATATGCTGAATCAGCTTATCCCTATCTTTTGTTGAATGTATACAGTTTGTGTAGATTCTACGAATTGTATAGACCATTTCAGCAGCAATAAGTGGCCACCTACAATCGTAGTGGTGATACAGAGACAAAAAAGGCCTCTACGTTTTTTGTTTTGTGTTTTGTGATGCTTTATAATTTTTTCCTGACGTCAACAAGATCCATTGTAAGTAAAGTACAAAAGCGATTCGATACACGTTTTGTACGAGTGACTTTCTAAATAACAACCAAGAGTATCTATTGGGAATGTATCAAAGGTACAAGTAACTTTTGTTGGGTGTTAAATTTATTTTGTAATTATATTCCATGTGAATACTATTCGTAACTAATACATGTGTAGGTACAGATTAGCAGTTTTATAAAATCCGTAAATTTAGCATATGAAAAAAGTAAAAGTATCGCAAACAATAATTTCTGTTTCCAGTATCTGAAAATGTAATATATTTATGAATAACAAATGTCGCTGTACTCTCATTTTTCTGTAATTATGCTCTCTTGTTTAGGAAGTTTCCCCACATATATATTTATGTATATCATTTAACCGTTTGTATGTATGTGCATAGCTTACGTATTATTACCTACGGCTCACTCTGTGTACCAGGTGGTTAGGGCGCTCGACTCGCAATCTGAGGGTCGCGGGTTCGAATCCCCGTCACACCAAACATGCTCGCCCTTTCAGTCGTAGGGACGTTATAATGTGACGGTCAATCCCACTATTCGTTGATAAAAGAGTAGCCCAAGAGTTGGCGGTGGGTGATGATGACTAGCTGCCTTCCCTTTAGTCTTACACTGCTAAATTAGGGACGGCTAGCGAAGATAGCCCTCGTGTAGCTTTGCGGGAACTTCCAAACAAACCAAAACACTTTGTGTAACTTGACGTAGAACGGACAATTAGGAACAAAATAATTTACTCTCTTTAGCACCGTAGGTATGGTTACCACACATAGTGATTAAGTTTGAGTTTTGAGGGCTATAAGGTGGGTAGGAGGTTGACACATCACAGCTATACTGTTATAAATCATTTGCTTTAGGTAACAATGCGTACAAATCCAAAGTCTGAAATTCAAACTTTCTATTAATGTTATTTTATCACGTGCAACACCATTCGTACACACACACACACATATATATATATATATGTGTGTGTGTGTGAAAAGTGGATTTAGGTAAGATATTTTAGGTTAATCAGCAAGAGAATGGAGGACCCAAGTATGTTTTCGTTGTCTTTGTGTACGTAATCAATATTAACTTCCGATCAGGACAAATTCCTGTCAAAAGTGACACTAAAAATCAACCCGGCAATGAGAAGAGCGAATTAAATATACTTTTATTACTTATAAAGATTGGAATGCATTGTGTCATCAGTTTGGTATCTTCGCTGTTAACGATATTTTCGGCCGCAATCCCAACAATATCTCACGAGATTCGGCCAGTTTGAGATTCCGGCGCGTACGTCTGACAGGCTGTCTTCTCTTTCTCTCTCTGACCAGCAGCCTCAAATTACAGGTAACTCTACTTGAACTTTAGGAGATTTCCCAGCTGTTAGTTTTTGACCATCCAATGCCATTGATGTTTAAAATACAAGACTCCATCAAGCAGGAGACTGTTCTTTTTCATTGCAGTTTATCTATCTGTCTGATATATATATATATATATATCGTGGAATGTTTCAGTTGACTTTTACAAGCATTGAAATGAATGTTTCAAGTAGACTTCCGATAACCGTATCGCGGAGTTCATAAACGTCTGGAGTATACTTGTTTTTATGCCTATTTATCACTTTATACAATTTATGTATACCGAAAAAGTTAACAATATATTTTTCTTGTTTTTACTGATTTTTCGTCATATTTTGTTTTTGGATAACGTAATACTTTTCAATGCGTGATGAAATTGCAATGAAAAATTTTAAAACTGTCAGCACGTTAGCTCCGTACTCGTAGAGAATTTCACACGTCTTCAAAACATAATTCTGCGTAAAGACTCAATATCAAAAACAAAAATTGCAGTTTCTCATTATTTTAATTCTGTTGGTTTTATGTAATTGAGAAGTCGAAGGCGTTTATCCCATTTATCAAAGTAACAGCTGGAAACTTACCTTTTTTCTTTTACAGTAGATTCTCTTCGTTGTAAAAATTATTAATAAGCGTTCATTGAACGTGTAGTGTTCCGTTGTCATACACTTCAACTAAGTGACAACCATCTAGTCAAGTAAGTCGTAAATGGACTGTGACGACAACAGAAGAGATCGGTCACCCATGTTTAAATGTATATTCTTGCTTGCAGCAATTGTGAACGCGAATCGCGTTTCCCTAGCTGATATTGATCGGGTTTTCAACGCTTTCAAGCATACAAATCAGATGCGCTCTGCAGGCACCGTCACTTCACGTGATCAGCATAATAAACGTCAATTTTTTCCACTCATTGTTAGAAGTTTACTTCTTATGAGGGTGTGTATGGTTTTTACTTGTTGTAATGGTAATAATTTCTGTTGGCTATCCACAGGAAACATACATGCTAACTTTCATATACGGACAAAACTTAATGTCTTAAGTCCGAATTATCTGTGAAGAACAATACGAAATCATTGAAAAGTTTGCTCAGAAAGGTTAAATGAAATTACGATCAATTGTAAGGAGTTCTGTGTAACTGTATAAGTGGTTAAGTGTATTCTGCCACATCGTGTTCCAAGACTTCCGTATTTTTGAACCATGAAAAAAAAATTAACTTTGAAAATCAGTATAAAGTAATTTCTCTTAATTTTATATAATTGTTTTTTGTTTTGTTTGTTACATAACCACACTTATCCACAACTTCACTTCATATGTTTATAATATATATATATATGTGTGTGTGTATAAACCAAAATTTTCAATGTGTCTGTTTAGTGTTACAAGTTGTTAGGAACTGGCTAAAAACAGTTGCGATAATATTGGTAGGGAAACTCGTGTGGATCCCTCTAAGATCAAATTCAAGTAGTTAAGTAATGGGACGAACGTTCCGAGTTTGTTAGCTATTTAAACTTTACTGTTTTATTGCCGCGAATGAAGAGTCCACTGAGCGAGGAAGTTAGTAGTGAAATGCGTGAAGCCGATGTCGAACGAAAGTGACATTTACTACTGCGCGAAGAACGGGTGCCTTTGCAGCGAACAAACACAACAAAATAGTGGAAGGGAGCAGCTTAGCCACAGTTATAGCATTACTT